TATATATATATATATTGTTCAAAACAATGACCGCTTGACTGGGGCCCGGCCGACGGCCCTCATCAAATTCGCTACTTCCAAGACTCTGGCGACTTTCGTGCCCCTCTTGGCCTCGGCAGATGCCCTTCTTTCCTCTGCTTTTCTGTGAGCTTTCGCGATGTCGTTTTGCATTTTCTCGAGCGCTTTTGCTCTTTTCTCCTCAAGCTTTCTCTACAAACAAAGAGTATTTGAAAATTTTGAAATTTTGTTGATATCTACTATACATTATTGAGTGACTCAACTCTAGAGTCTAGAGTAACTAAAGCAGGGGAATATGAAAAAACCACTAGGTATAGAGGTTCATGCTCCACAGGATAGTCTGATAGAGTTACCTTTGAAATGCAAAGATGGGGGAAATATATTGCATAACCATAACCTCTAATATATCAATAAGACTACTAGGCGGGATAAAGTGTTAGACAGTCGTACTTTTTCAACATATGCGCGTACTTTCAAATTGAAATGTCATACTTTAAAAACAACATAAAAAAGCATGACATTTCAACTTTCAAGTATACATTTCTATTAACAAAAAAAAAGTATGACGAGTCGATCCGCGTAACTGTTAGGCTCCATCATACAATAATTTTAATTACAATCTATTAAAGTTTTTATTTTGCTAGAATCAAGTTCCACTCTCCTTTATGGACAGAAAATTTTTGGAATCAAATTCTCTTGAACATAAAGCATGAACCATTCTGAATTTGAAACAGCTTTAGAATGAACTGCAGCCATATTGACCTATAACTTATGTTTTTAAAACTCCATCAAGAAACCCACATGCACAAAAATCATCTCACCACTGCTGATGATATCTATCGAAGTTTTATAAAAGTTCGAGTTAACAATTAGTCGAGTACCTCGACTTTCTTCATCCAGGTATTGGCCTTCTGGACCTGCTCCCCCTCCCAGCCGTTGATCACTGCATCTTCCCGTTTGAACCGGTTATTGATCTTCGCGATTTTCGCGTTCTGCCACGCGCCGATTTTCGTCTCCACCTCCTCCTTCTTCACCCTCTGCACCGACGAGACCTCCCGCGTGGGCCCCACCACCGCCGGATTGCTGCTGTCCGGCACGATGGCTAAGGGGTTGATCTCTTCTCTCTCCTCGCGTATCCCGTCGAGCTCGCGGGGCACACCGATGGCGGACCCTGCGAGGACGAGGGCGTTGAACTCTCGGCTCATGCTCGAAAAGTTCTCGGTCGATGATGTGGAGAGGGCCGGAGACCGGCCGGCGGAGGCAGCCGGAGGCGGCGGCGGGGTCAGGGCGTGGATGTCCCGGATGACCGGAGAACAATCGGGCTCGGCCTCGGGCTCATCGAGGTACTGTAGAAGATTGTTGCTTGAGCTGGTTGAGGTGGGTACTAGAGCTCTTTGATCACTCAACATTTAGGAAAGGAGTATAGATAGAGAGAGAGAGAGAGAGAGAGAGAGAGAGAGAGAGAGAGAGAGAGAGGGTTTTGCTTTTTTCAAGTTGTGGACAGAAAATAGGAGTGGGGAAGGTGAAGGAGTGAGGAATGGATTAATTAGAGCCACACACACACATGCATGCAGTAAAAAAGGCATTGGGTTTCAACTTTAAGGGCTTCGTTTTTTTTTTAATATTATTATTGGGAAATGATACGGTCCCATTATGGAACCATTCTATCGGGGTTTGTAACCGTTAAATCAACTATTCTCGACGGTTGCATGATCATCTAACGGTTACAAACCCCAACGGTATGGTTCCGTAACGGGACCATAGTATTTTCTATTATTATTATTATTATTATTATTATTATTATTATTATTATTATTATTATTATTATTATTATTATTATTTATTTATTTATTGAAATTGATTGGTAGGTGTTGTTGGGATAGGCCAAGAGTTGGGAATTGGGATGTTTGTTATTGGTGGCACTTATGATTAATCAAGGTAGCTTTTAATATCTTTTGGTCAATATTAGCTTC